TCGTTCTTCTGCGTGGGCGTTCTCGTGCATGGGCAGTCGTTCTCGTGGGCGGTCGTCGTTGTGCGTCGGCGCGGTCGTTGTTGTACGTGGGCGGTCGTCGTTGTGCATCGGCGTGGTCGTTGTTGTGCGTTGGCGTGTGGTTGTTCTCGTGCATGGGCGTTCTCGTGCGTGGGCAGTCGTTCTCATGGGCGGTCGTCGTTGTGCGTCGGCGCGGTCGTTGTTGTACATGGGCAATCGTTGTTGTGCGTCGGCGTGGTCGTTGTTGTATGCGGGCGGCCGTTCTCGTACGTGGGCGGTCGTTGTTGTTGTTGTATTGTGTTGTCGCGCTGTCGTGCCGTGTCCGGGGTGGTCTGCTGTCGTCCGTTGACGTGGGCAGTCGTTTCCGTGGGCGGTCGTTTCCGTGGACAGTCGTTTTCGTGGGTGGGCGGTCGTTTTCCTTCGTGGGCGTTCGTGTTCGTACGTGGGCTGTTGGTTGGCTAAACGGTGTGAGCGGGCGGTGACGTGGCTGGTGGGATGATGCACGTCGTACCTGGGTGCCCTTTTCCGGTGTGTTGACGGGCGGGGTGTTTGTCGACAGATGGCGAGGGCAGTGGTTGGATGGTGGTGGTTGTCGAAGCCTCGTTGATGGGTGGTGGTCACGTGGAAGGATCTAGGTCGAGGGTTTGGGCAAATTCCCACTTGCGGAATTTGCCGGCATCCTTTCTAGGAAGCTAGCCTTACGGTTGGTATGTAGAGCATAAAATATACCTGTATAATAATGCCTACGTGGTACAAGTGGTAAAGTGCTCACTCCGTAAAATGTTGGTGTGTCCATGAGGTTGAGTGTTCAATCCATGCAACTTGCGCTTTTTTATTTATTATATAATAACAATAATAGTGACAAACTACTGGATTTACTGGACTCCTTGTACTCAGAAATTCCTAGTGGACTCCTACTGGACTCCTTGTACTGGACTCCACTATACCCATTCCTTAGGAATCCTTAATTCCTTGTGATTTGGGATCATTCCAGTAGGAATCTACTAGGACTCCAGTAGGACTGAGATGCAAAATTTGTATGGTGTTCAGGCAATATGAAATTGGCTGGAGTCCTAGTAGAATCCAGTAGGAGTCCGGGATTCCAGTAGGAGTCCAGTAGGAATAGGTGGGGGAGTGTAAAGAGCTCTGGTTTTCATGGAGAAAAACACAAAAAACAAAAAAAACGCGGTGCTTTTCAAAATGTTTTACATCATGTCTCCACAACAGGAGCACTTCAGAACATAATTCAAACAGATTCAGGCAGCTACAGCATAGGACTACAACTTTTGTTTTTGACCATTTTTGGTAATTGATCATGTGACCACCATCCCAACACCCCATTAGATGGACCCTGATAGGTAGAATCATTCTTATCTTGTTTTTCTTCACTTTTTGGTCAAATAAGGTGAGCTTTTCTTTGGGGTGGGCCCTGAAGTTGACCCTGAAAGTAGTGCCTGACATACCTTACACCATTTACATTTTTCTGGCTTTTTTCTGATATTCTGGTTATTTTTCATCAGAAACAAAGAAGTTTCCTTATTTGGATGTTGCCCTGAACCCTGAACATCATCATCAACAGTGGGAACCATTTGTATTTTTTTCTGATTTTTTTGGTGATTATCTGGCTATCATTGGATAGATTACCATATTTGGAACTAGACCCTGAACCCTGAAAACAACCCAACATCATCACCACCATCCCCCAATTTTTCCTAATTTTTCGAGTATTTTCTGGCTATTTTTGGATAGATTACCATATTTTGACATAGCCCCTGGACCCTGAAAACAACCTAACATCATCACCCCATCCCCCAATTTTTCCTGATTTTTCGGGTATTTTCTGGCCATGTTTGGATAGATTGCCATATTTGGACATCCCCTGGACCCTGAAAACAACCTACCATCATAACCACCATCCCCCATTTTTTTCTGATTTTTCTGCTATTTTATTGCTATTTTTCCTTTAGATAAGCACACATTTCCATATTTGGCAATGTGCCCTGGACCCTGAAACAACCACATTTGGAAGTGCGCTTTTGGACCCTGAAAACAGTGAGCAAGCCGTGGGAATCAGTGAGCACCAAGGCTGGCTCTAGGGAGCTCAGCAAGGCTACCTTCCTGATTAGGAAGGTTGGTCAATTGACTGCTGTGATGCATAGGTAGACTTAGTCAATAGACTATACCTGATACATAGTACTGGCAGTATCAGGTGCGACATTCGCCGACAACGACCACCACGACCAACAATGAACGGCGACAAGGGCCCAGTGATACGCGTTGCACGGGGATGACCGTGAAAGTGCGAAACACTCGAACAAGGATCAAGCGCGTCGGGAAAACCCTAAACACCTAAACACT